GTGTTCAGCAGTTGGAGGCAAGCCTAGGCCACACTGCAAGATCCTGTCAAAAAAGAACCAAATTTTTCAAAAAGGAAGAAGGAAGGAAGGATAGACCAGATTGGAACTCGCCCATTGAAATGGTAAAGGTGTGGAGTCACCCTGCAGTGAAGCACTCAGTAATGAAAAGGAACAGATTTCTGAGATACTTCACCATTGAATCTCAGAAAAACCTAAGTTTAATTAAAGAAATTTTACACAAATGAATAAATGGAGAGTAAATACAAGATTGTAGAGCAGGCAAAACTAGTCTATGGTGGGGGAATGACTGTTGTTTCCCTCTTAGGAAGAAGAGGGAAGGGCTGAGCAGTGCCTGAGGGAAGGACACAGCGTCTGTGTCTTCATACAGCTTTTGGCTTCACAGATTCCAAAAGCTCATAGAAAGTATAAGATCTATATACTTTTATATGTATCCTTCAAAAATAAAAAAGAACACTTTGAGCAAATACTAATCTGTAGTTAATCACATGTCCACTGAAGTTTTTAGAGGAAAATGTACAAATGTCTGTAACAGGTTTCTGAAGTCCATCCAAATGCAGCAAATTGGGCGATGGATTGACAGAGGAACGAGCATAATGATGCAAGTGTTGTGAAAAGGGAATGCTCGATCTAGGCGGCTAGTACATTTATTTTCATCTTTTCATATTTAAAACATCTTCAACTCTTAACATTTTGGAGGAGGAACCTAGGCAATCAAGAAGGAATATCAGGGCTGGAGAGGTGGCTCAGAGGTTAAGAGTACTTACTGTTTAAAGCCGGGCATGGCCTTTAGTTCTTGCAGAGGCAGAGGGATCTCTGTGAAAGTTCAAAAAAAAAAAGAGTACTTACTGTTAATCATTAAGACCAGAGTTCAAATCCCAGCACCCACATCAGATGTCTTACAAACCCTGTAATTCTAGCTCCAAGGGATCCGTGCCCCCCCCACGCACATGTGCACATATACACACATAAAAAAAGAAGGCATATCATGTCATGAAAATAGAAAGGTCTTTTTCTTATGGATAGCTTGTCACAAAAAAATGAGTGTTGTAAGAAAGACCCTCTCTCTCTCTCTCTCTCTCTCTCTCTCTCTCTCTCTCTCTCTCTCTCTCTCTCTCTCTCTCACACACACACACACACACACACACACACACACACACACAGGTGTAGGGCCCATGGATACAGATGGCCCATAGCACATTAGTTTGGGTTGGGTTCACACAGTGTGTGAGTGGAAGGAGGGAGGAAAGGAGAGAAATAGAGAACAATTGAGATTGATTCTAAGACAGGGGGCACTCACTTTGTAGCCCAGGCTAGCCCTGAATTCACAGTCCTCCTGCCTCTGCCTCCCACATACAAGGTTTATAGGCATCTTCTACGATGCCTGGCTTGGTTTTTAAACTAGAGATTTTTAGAATAAAAATTCTAGATTTCTGCTTTTTATTTTATTTTTATGTGTATGAGTGTATTGCCTACATGTATGTGAGTGCACCCGTGTCGTGCAATGCCACAGAGGTCAGAAAAGGGCTTTGGATTCCCCTGGAACTGGAGTTAAGGACAATCCGCAGCTGCCATGTGGTTGCTGAGAATCGAACCCGGGTCCTCTGCAAGAGCACTCGGTGCTCTTAACCTCTGAGCCATCTCTCTAATCCCTGATTTCTGAAAAAACAAAGTGGAATATAGACTCCAGATGTAAATCCATTGTCACATGTAAGGTGAACTGAAGATGCTATTTCAGATGAGAAGTAGATATGGTTTCGTTATGACATTTTCATTCACATTCACCCCCTGCTACCCTGCCCTACCCATTCTCCCTGCCTCTTTCTGGTTCTCACCAAATAGCCTCCCACCTGCCTTAATGTCACACATGCACAGACATACAAAGACAAGCACGCACATGCAGCGCTACATGTAAGGAAACACATGTTATTCGGTCTTCCCCCAATTACCCTCTCTAGCCTCTCCCCCCAACTTTAGAACTCTTTGTCCCCCTGTAATGCTTTTTCTACTCTCATAGGCTTTATGTTTATGTTTAAATAGATTCTGCTAAAAGGAAACAAGTTACTTCTTTTTCTGAGTACCACGATGATCGCCATTTCTAGCATTTTCCTAAAAATGACATAGTTTCATTTTTATGCCTGAATAAAGCTCCTTTATATTTTAAATATAAAGATATAAAGTTCTTCATCCATTCCTCTGTTGACGTGCATCTAGAGCAGGCTGGCCTAGTCTCACAGAGATCCACCTGCCTCTGCCTCCTGAGTGCTGGGATTAAAGACTTTCGAAAACCACCTTGCCTACTTTAGAACTGGGTGTTTTAAAAAATATTTTATCTTTATTGTATGTTTTGGTTCCATGTATGTAAGTGCACCATGTGTGTGCACTGCAGTAGAGGCCAGAGGATGGCATTGGATCCTCTGGAACTGGAGTTTCTGATGGTGTTGTCATCTGGGTGCTAGGAACCACACCTGGGTCCTCTGCAAGAGTAGCCAGTGTTTTTAACCATGGAGCTGTCTCTCCAGCCCCAAATGAGAACTGTTTTGTATGACTGGTTTTAACTCAAGACTTAATGGAGTATGATAACCTGTATCCTGAATCTGTTGATGCTGAGAACCCACACTATATTGAAAAGTATAGTGATGTATGCTATTGGAGTCAGTGACACATAGGCCTCTGCCATGATTATTTTATACTTCGTATTTAGATTTTTTGTTTCCTTTGCAGTACTTGGGATTAAACATTGGGTCTGCTTTACCCATGCTAGCCAAGCTCCCAACCATTAAGCTCACTTTTTACTTTTCATTTTGAGAGAGCCTCTGAGTTGTCCAAGATGGCTTTAAATTCAGTCTTTGCCCCCAGGCAGGCCTTGAAAGTTGTAATCTTTGTGCCATCAGGCCTGGCTTTAAACTTTTTGTAAGATACAAAAGTATTCTAATCCTTAGTTTCTTTAACTAGTTCATAACAATATTAAAATGAAATAAGTAATGTCTACTACAGAGAATTGTTGTATAGATTAGGTAAGATTAAATTATATGAAATTTTTAACCCTGTTTCTGGGAAGTGACTGTTCAGTTAAATTTTAGAACAGAGGTATGAAGAAAGTTCAGGGAATTGACCTAGAGCACATTTGCCTTTAGTGGATAGGAAGATCTCTTAGCCTCTGTTTCTCTTAGCAAATACTTACTGCATGTTTGCTCTATAATATACTATTGAGAGACTCAAGTGTGCCTTGCTCGGCAGGGATCCTCACTTTTGTGAAGGATGGCGATACCAACTGGCAACAGAGTTTTGGACCCTGGGACTTGTGTCTTTACAACAAGCTGTTTATTAGAGAATTCAGAGGGTTTTTATACATTACAAATAAGTGGCAGTCACGTGGGGTTCGGCAGTCGCTTACAAAGATTTAGGGTACAAAGAAACAGGGCATATAGCCTGATAATTGTTGCCAGCAGGATGCTTAAACTTTTATTCAAGGTTACCAATGCCTGTCCAGTAATTTATTGGCCACAATGTTTTCTTTCTTAGGACTAAAAGCATGGCAAACTTTTAACTTTTAGCTCAGGAGTAAACCTTTAACCTGGCTTAATCTCTTAGCTAATGATAGCTGAGTTATTTGTTCAGGACAGGGAGATGAGCTGTTGACCAAGACACTTTCCCACAGAGCAGGAACCTGCACTTTTGAACTGGCCACTTTTCTTCCTGCTAGTCTCGAAAGTGTTCTGTAGGACAGGGATTATCAGAGCTACTGTTTTTAGCACCCCTCCCTTTAGCAAAGAATGCAGCCTGGACTTAAAAAGTTTTAGGCTCATCTCTCCCTAGGGTGTGCCTGGTTTACTACAGTATGCATCGTGTTTGGGACCAGAGCAATATAAATTAAAATAGAGGTGGTTACTACTTTTAAAAGAATCTTGAATTCAAAAGTCAGGGTTTAAAAAAAAATTGTTTGTATTTTATATGTATGAGTGTTTTGCCTGCATGTATGTAAGTGTACTTGCAACCTGTAATACCTACAGGGGCCAGAGAGGGCAATGGCTCCCCCAGAACTGGAGTCTAGAAGGTCATTAGCTATCGTGTTGGTGCTAGGAAACAAACCTGGGTCCCCTACAAGACCAGCCTGTGCTCTTAATTGCTGAGCCATCTCACCAGCCCCTTGTCTGTTTTATTTTGGGGTATTTTTTTTGTTTTTTGTTTTGTTTTTTTGTGATTTGAGAAAGTGTCTCACCGTACCCCTGCTGACCTCAAACTCAGAGAAATCTGCCTGCCTCTGCCTCCCATGAGTGCTGTGATTAAAGGTGTGCACCACCATGCCTGGCTTTAATCTTTAAAATTCTTTTTTTTAAATTTTTTTTTATTATTTTTATTTTATGTGTATGGGTGTATTGCCTGCATGTAGGTAAGTACACCCATGTCGTGCAATGCCCACAGAGGTCAGAAGAGGCTGTCGATCCCCTGGTACTGGAGTTACGGACAGTTGTTAGCTACCATGTGGGTGCTGGGATTCGAACCCGGGTCTTCCGCAAAAACAACCAGTGTTCTTAACTGCTGAGCCATCTCTTTAGCCCTTAAAATTCATTTTTATTTTATTTGTATGAATGTTTTGCCTACATGTATGTAAGTGATGCCTGCGTGCAAAATGTCAGGTTTTATAAGGAAGGAAATTAAGTAGTGGCTATTTTTATTATTTGACAACTCTCTTCAACAAAATACTGTTTTTCACTCTAAGAAAATATTTTGTGTGCTGCAGTGCCTGGTCCTCCCTTTTTTTTTCATGGGTGCTGGAGAATGAACTTAGGTCCCCTTCATTACACAAGTAATTTCCTGACTGAGCCATCTGTCCAGCCCCTGTCCTTTTATTTTCAATGAAATGAGTCAGTGTAGTGATAATGCATCTTCTCCCAAGGATTCTTGATGATGAAATGTTCCTTGTCATTTGTCAATAAAGAGACTTCTTTTTTTATTCCCCACCCCCACCCCCCAACCAGTTTGCTGGAAACCATGTCTCACTATACAGATGAACCCAGATTTACCATAGAACAGATAGATCTACTTCAACGTCTTCGGCGTACTGGAATGACTAAACATGAAATTCTTCATGCCTTGGAAACTTTGGACCGACTTGATCAAGAGCATAATGACAAGTTTGGAAGGAGGTCCAGCTACGGGGGAAGTTCATATGGGAACAGCACCAACAATGTTCCTGCATCTTCCTCAACAGCTACAGCTTCCACACAGACCCAGCACTCGGGGATGTCCCCATCACCTAGCAACAGTTATGATACCTCCCCACAGCCTTGCACTACCAATCAAAATGGCAGGGAGAGCAATGAGCGATTGTCCACATCCAATGGGAAGATATCACCATCTCGCTACCATGCCAACAGCATGGGCCAGAGGTCATACAGTTTTGAAGCCTCAGAAGAGGACCTAGATGTAGATGATAAAGTGGAAGAATTAATGAGGTTAGTTACTTTGCTTTTTCAGAATTCCTAAAAGCATCAATGTTGTAAGATGGTGTTGAGATATGAGGCTGCATTTCAGCCGCTTGCCCACATGAACAGTGATTTCTCTCCCTTCTTTGAGATGAAAGGAAAAATTGAAAGCTTGTTTTTTAAATCCGGGATTTTTCCTCTCTACTTCAGCCCTTTCCTGCGTGGTAAGCTTTTTCTATTCTCTTTATCCCTTGATTTTTAGAAGCACCGTCCTCTGTTTCAGCAGATACCTTCTAACAGAAGCTAGGGTAATCCCAATTCTTTTCTTATAAATACTTTTTCTGAGAGTTAGAAGATAAATTTCTCTTGATACAGAATATGTACATTATTCATTTTCCCTTGCAGCATTTTAGTCAATGAAACAGTTTGAACAAATCTTGGGTAAGAACTCCTATTTAAGAAGAAACATAGACACTGTTTGTGCCCTCCCTAAAAAGCTAAAGTTCTAATATGAGCAATAGATGCAACACACACATGCGCATGTACATCGTCAATTACCCAGTAAGCAGATACCTTTAACCTTCAAGAATTGCCTTCTTCAACCCAGGCAATTAACAAAGACCTGTTTTGCTTTGAAGGTAAGAGACCTGTGTTTTCCATTGTACACACCAGGACTGAGAACTTCCCTTAGTATATAGTATGGACTTAATATGTTGAATGATGTTTGGCCTATACCTTAAACAATCTCCTCAGTTTTGAAATATTAGAATTTTGGGCCTGTGAGATACCTCAGTGGGTAAAGGTGCTTGCTGCCTGACAACCTGAGTTTGATCCCTGGCACCAACATGGTGGAAGGAAAGAACCACCTCTCGTGTTTTGTCCTTTAAGTACATGCACACCATGGCACAGGTGTGCCCCCACACATAAACATATACACACACTAAGAAAAAAGAAATCTCAAGTACTTTTACATGAAAAAGATTTTATAGCTTGTAGAAGAATAGTGATTTAATTGTATTTAAAGTTAAGGAAACAGTGAAAGTTACTAGGTAAGGCAAGACTTTTAGTCTTCAGTTTGAGAAGAATGTAAACTGGGTGTGGTCTCTCATGACTATAATCCCAGAATTTGGGAGGCTGAGGCAGAAGGATTGCCATGAAACAAAAGTGACTTATGGGGAAGCTTTGCCTATAGAGAGTTTGAAAATCACCAAAAGAAAAACAACCCCAACGAACCAGTCCATGGCAGAAACAGTAAGCGCTCAGCCATGGCGGTAACAGTGCGTGTTTGGAGGCAGTGCACATGCTCCAAGCCTTTACTTCTTTGCTAAATGGTTTGTTTCTTTTAGATGGAGTGGGGGAACTTAAAGGTCTTTAGAAACAGCACTGAAGTCAAGGTGCACTGTTGGGAAGGGCGAGAGCCTGCAGATAAACTAGTTACAGTAGATGACAAAGTTGTAGATTTGTCGGAAATAAAAATAAGATATATAATTATGAGTTATAACTCTTCCTAAAGATTTTATAGCTTGTAGAAGAATAGTGATTTAATAGTGCTGTGTGGAGATCCTTCCCGCACACCACAGTGGGGAGGTAGCCTTTAGACAAAGGAACTCTCTGAGCTGCTTTTCAGGGTAGAGTTTAATATGTAGAATTCTGGGGTACCTGGCCTATTGTATCTAGATTCCAGTGGAATATCTGTAATCATAGTATTCCACGCAGCCGCAAGTCAGCGTTGACAAGCTTTAGCACTCACAAATGCAAGAGGTCCGCTTAGGTTTTCGTTCATTTGCACCTGTTAAAGAGGAAAGCCCAAACTCTCCTGTTGCTTCAGTGTTTTTGTCCTAGGATTGAACCCTAGGCTTCATCTGTGATAAGCATGTGCTGTGCCACTGAGTCCCATCCCCAGCCATAGCTCTTCTTCTGACAGCTACCATGTAAAGCCTAAAAAGGGGGACCCATCAGACAAGTAAGTTACTTTACTCACTAAAATTTAATGAGTTTATAATTATCTAGACTAGAGATTATATACTAAAATTTATTTTCAAATGCTAGCTTCTTTTCTTTGGACACATTCACTTAGGTCCGATTCTGCACATAATTCTGTGTTTTCTTTTTGTGCTCTTGTTGCATGACTGGGACACCATCTTTTTCTCTTTCTCTGGTCCTTGCTCAGAACTGCTCCTTTGACGTTTAATCAAGTCTGTCCACCCCACTACTCAGGGACATCCAGGGTCCCTAGCCCTTCCTTGAGCTATCTCTCACTCCTGCCTTGCTCCTTGTGACCTCTCACCTTTCTCAGGCTTCCTTGGGACACTGAGACAAGTTTGTTCAGTGATTGTTCACATTTAGAGTCATTCCAGCCATGCTGTGAGGTTAGAGAAAATGAGAAAAAGTAATTTGCTCAAGAAAACTCGATTGTTAGACAACTGAATGCAAATTATATCCCATGTCTTTATTATTGTGTTGCTGGTGTGTGTTGCCCCTGAAATTGTTCATGCTTAGAGATTCGTAGACCTTAGGAAAGTGGTTAATCTAACTACAGGTACAGTGTGAATGGCATAATGTGCGGCCACGCTCCTCCCGTCCCCATCCCCCCCCCCCCAGGATTGGCCTTGAACTCATAGAGATCCACCTGCCTCTGCCTCCCAGGTGCTGGGATTAAAGGCCTGTGCCACCACGCCCGGCTTACTACCGAATTTTTATCTGCTGAGATATTAGAGAAAATGTCTGGACAGTAGCTCCTTCTGAGTGTTGTGTCCATCTTGTGATAGACTGCCCTTGCTGGTCACTCCACTCTGGTGCCCTGGCAGTAAGCTGCAATTTGTGGGGATCCTTGCAGGATGTGCACATGCCCAGGTATCTTCCTGCCTCCTTTGCTGTGTGTAAAATCTGCCCCCGCTTGCTCAAGTCCCCAGCCTTCGGGGCACTCAGATTTCATGCTCCAGTGAATCTACATTGGATTATATAATTTCAAGGTACATACTGGAGATTTTTGTGTTTGTAGACCTTCATCAGGTTGTTACTGTACCCTTGATCAATTTGTTGAAAAATCAGAAAGAAAGTAACTGATACTTTTTCTAAGTCTGAATTAGGATCAGAAAAGCAGCAGCAGAAGAAAGCCAAAGTGGTGTGTAAATTCTCAGGGAGTTGTTGCCTGTGGCGCTTTAGGAAGAACTCAAAGAACTCAAAGCGAAGAATGAAGATGGGTTCTGTATTAAAGGCATATTGTCAACATGTAAATATATGAATAGGAATGTGTGTCTACACCTGCCAATATAGTGAATATCAATGTTTTTCTGTGCTATTATGTATTTATTATGAAATGATTGAAGTGAGGCTTACCAGAATTACTAAACAATGTTATATACCAAGCATATTACCGTCCATCACCCAAATGCTAAATTTTGTAAGTATTTTGTCCAAAATTCTGAAAGTTTATTTCAAGTTAGCTATAGATCTAACTTAATAAAGTACAGGTTGCATATCCTTAATCTGAAAACCTGAAATCCACAATGCTTCAAAATCCAAAATTTCCTGTACATTGCCATGTCACAAGTAAAAATTCCATCACACGAAACATTCTTAGGCACAACATTATTTAAAATACCGTCTAAAGTTATACTCCGGCTATGCGTGTAAATTATGTGTGAAACATAATTGAATTTTGTATTGGGCCCTGTTCTAGTCTGCTTTCTGTTGCTGTGATAAACACCGTGACCAAAAGCAACTTGAGGTAGAGAGAGTGTGTTTCAGTTTACAGGTTACAGTCCTGGAAAACCAGGGCAGGAGCTCAGGCAGGGCAGGAACTGGAGGCAGAAAACAGAGCAGAGACTACAGAAGATGCTGCTCACTGGCATGATCCCCTGGCTTGCTCAGCTACCTTTCTTATACAGCCTGGGGATGGCACTGCCCCACAGTGGGCTGGGCCCTCCCACATCAAGAAAATGCCTCAGAAATGCCCACAGGCTAGTCTGATGGAGGTTATTCCTCTATTGAGGTTCCTTCATCTCAGGTAACTCTAGTTTGTATCAAGTTGACAAAAACCAACTCAACTCAGGCCCTATCTGACAAAACTGAAATGCTCCTGTCCCATGCATTTCAGATGAGGGGTTCTCAGCCTGTATTTACTTGCACAGATAGAATATGTATGTTCTGTAAGATGGTGATAAGGAGGTATTGACCTAGGCCCTTTCTATTACTTATGCTTATAGAACAGCTTTTCTTTAAATGTGAGCTGTTAAAATCATTCTCTGTATCTGTATAGGTAGAATGTTATGAGTATTTTTCAAGTGTAAACTATGCTGTTTGGGTAAGTATTGCTTCATCTCTGGGTGACTTTTAGGTAGCTTCCTCTAAGAGATCTAGAAAGCTGTTCAGTGCATATTAACTCAGGAAATATGAATCATCTTAAAGCATATCATTTTTAAATATGAGGCCTTTAATATTCCTCCTTCCAGAAAACAAATCAATGTCATTTTGAATCTCCATAAATAACTTTTCCATCCTGATTTGGGAAACTTAACCCTACTTGAAAATAAGAATTTAAAGCTCTTCTATAAATTATCTGGATCATGTTTTGCATTTTACAACCTTTTGTCTCCACAGATCTTTTTTTCGCTCATTTAACAAATTAAGTTTTATTGTCTGCCAACCCCATGAGGATATGGCAGAATCTTTGTTCAATGGACTTTAGGGCTAGTAGGAAAGATGAGACCTGACTAGGAGCAAGGACTATAGCAGCATATACATGGTATAATTGAAATGTTAGAGTTAGCCTAGGAAAAGAGGTCCTTCTTTTTAAGCTGTGAAGATCAGAGAGGACTTCTCTAGATAGATGACAGTTAACAGTGTGCCTTTTAAAAAGGTGAACAGAGCCGGGCATGGTGGTGCATGCCTGTGAAGTCCCAGCACTCAGGAGGCAGAGGCAGGTGGATCTCTGTGAGCTCAAGGCCAGCCTGGTCTACATAGTGAGTTCCAGGCCAGCTGGGGCTACAGGAGATCCTGTTTCAAAAACACCAAAAAAAAGAAAAGTG